AAAGAGCACCTTAATTATGGAAATGACAAGTTTACCTAGCTAGAGGGTTAAACTTCAAAAGAGGGTATTCATCTTCGAAACACATGCATACACTTTACGGTCAAGCATAATAAATTTTGCAAGACTTCCTAGTTATGTTTCATACTTCACGGAGCAAGACTTTTCAAGCAGCAATGACCGCCTTGATTATAAGTTAACATGAAAGCCTTGAATCTGAGTTAGGGTTCAAGCCTTTGCAACAGCTAAATAAACTAACCTCCTCGCATATTAACCCCAGTCTCATCATTTGAAAATGGAAATGAAGAAAAAACGGTAGAATAGAAAGCCAAAACAGCTAGTACAAGCCCTCAAGGATGTCCAGCTCATGAGCGGAAGCTCCACCTTAAACGTTAACGGGTGGCTGAAATACCCATGTTACCCATGTTGCTAATTACTGGTTGGGAAGAGTGTGGTTGCCGATCAATGAATAATAGCAACATGAGTTATATTGCTAGTATATAACATTATGGTTCATCTCACCGAAAAATTTCAGCAACATGGTGCTTGTTTCTAAAATTGACTTTCAACAACAAAGATCATGTTGCTGAAAATTTAGCTTACTTTTTGGGTGTATGGATATTTACATAGGCATCAGCAACATGATGTTTGTTGTTAAAAGTCACTTTTAGCAACATGCCCCTTGTTACTGAAATCATGTTGCTAAAAGTTAAGATTACTTTAACTCATCAGAAGCTTTCAACAACATGGTCTTTGTTGTTGAAATTGACTATCAGCAACATGCTCCTTGTTGCTAAACGTTAAGTTTACTTTTCGGGAGAATTGAGCATTAGCAACATAATCCTTGTCGATGAAAATTTATATCACTGATAAGCTATTTCATGTTGTTGATAGATAGTTGCTAAAAAAAAGAATTTTAGTAGTGTGGTGGTTGTGGCCCATTGGACTTGTTTGCACCCAAATGACAATAGAGGGACTCAAATCCGCATTCTGCGACATAATTTGCATCCATCCTTAGCACTTGAGCCTAGCCAAACCCAATGGGTTTGTAACATTTTAATTATTGGTATGAAGTTATCTTAACATAAGAAGGATTATCACAAATTGAAAAACTGCACTCTGCCTCATCTATAGTCTACAGAATCAAGGCGTCCCATTTTTAATGATCCCAAATCAAATAGTTACCATCCAGCAAAAACTTAGAATTAATGCAGTAACACATAGACCCAATTAGAGGTAAAGAAACCAAAATATACCAACCGTGATTCTTGATCTAAGCAACAAAATAAAATGAAGGAAATTCCAACAATCATAACTAAATCGTGAAAATTCCAAACAGATAACAAGAAAAGGAATTACAAGAAGCTTTAATTTCACTTATAATCAGAATCCAAGACTTATCTATCAGAATCTCAAATTTTTGAAGGGTTTTCTCCGTAAACAAACGATCATGCAACATTTGATCCCAAAACAAATCAAAATCAATAGTGAAAAGTGCAAAAAAATTAACAATAATAATAATTCCAAAGAGCCATGAATTGGGAAACCGGAAGAAGCAGGAAGATGAGAAAAAGATTGGTACCGAAGATTCTGTACTGTGGGGTTTTGATCAGCCACAGTTTGGATGATCTCTCTCGGATTCTCTCGGATTCCATATAAGGGGGAGGGAGAAAGGAGGAAGGTATGAATTTATTTTTATTTTTTTCATTTTATGGTTCAACTGAGCGGCCTTCCCTGCATCCAGTTCTGCTATGCCCATAATAGTCACTTAGTTCGATGCTTTTTTATTTTTATTTTCATTTTTATTTTTTAATTAAGATAAAGGATTTGGAATTTTCAATGAAGACGCACAAAACAAAAAAATAAAAAATAAAAAAATACAGTTTGAGCATAAAAGTAGCTTTCTTTCTACCTCTCTCCTCTTCCTTCCCTCTCTTCTTTTGCTTGTGGAGTGGAGCATAGATCGCCGTGTAATCAAATTTCACCTGCATTCCTGTCCTACATGCACATCCTTTTAAGGAAACGCCTTTTGTGATTTATGCAAGCACTATTTCAATAACCAGCTCCCAAATAGCTAACAAGGGGAATCTTGTGCTGAAGAACCAAATGCCATGAAAACAAAATACGTATCATCTAAAGCTGAATGCACAAATTATACAGCAAGAGGGGAAAACACATATAATTATTATTGTCTTATTGGGTAAACAACTAAACATCAACTCCTTCAAAAAAAGGAGTGAATTGCCTTGTTAACAACAAACAAACAATACTGAAGCAGTCATAACAGTTCAGTGGCTAACATATACTTTTCGACTTTCAGAGCCACAAACACATCTACAATTATTTCCCACCGAGAGACATTCAGGTCTTTTTATTTCTTCTCTTCTATTTCCTTCCCATCAATATAAATTAAGCCTAAACACCTGATCCAGCAAGCCGCCGCCTAGAGGCATTTGAGATAGACACCTCACCTAACTTGTCTGCATCATGTGATACCATCCTCTCTCTCAGTGGCATATAGTGCCTCAACCATACCCCAGTATATACCTGAAATTTCAAAACCATAAAATAGAATTCACACTTCAAAATTTTTTATCATTTTGATCACAGTAGCTTTGGTAGTTTTTCATTGCTGAAAAAATGGAATGAGAAGTAAACTATATTATCAGACGGAAACCACACATCATTAGTCAGATTAGACCGCTTAGCTTAGACAGGCACCTTTTTAGGTTAGTTTGTTAGCATTTTATGACAATTAAGATAAGAGAACAATGATTATTTTAGACCAATGGACGACAACAATGGTGCTTATCACTGACTTCCAGTAGACTTTTGAATCGTGTTTCACTATCTATAAAAACTAACCTGTTGTGGTCTCATTATCTTCGTGTCAGGATCATCCAGAGACTCTCTCCAGTGTGCTAGGTACCCAGCCATTCGAGGAATTGCAAATAAAACAGTGAAGTACTCTGCTGGAAATCCCATTGCACTACGACAGAAAATTTAGAATGTCGTCATCAGTTTTATGCTTTAAGAAAAACTAACAATATTGTATGCATTCATCCAGCTTTGCAGTATAAACATTGGAAAGTTAATGATATCATTACCGATAGATTAATCCCGAATAGAAATCAACATTTGGATAGAGCTTCCTCTTAATAAAGTACTCATCAGATAATGCAGCCTTCTCCAA